AAGATCACTCGAAATCCAGGTCGTGTGGAAACAATGATATTTTTCGTAAACAATGATTCATATCTTTTCGCATCTATTATCTCGGTAATAAATTAAAAAAGCAATTAGCGGTACTAGTGATCCAATGAAATGAAACGTCGTTTATTGATACAAGAATTATGAGTTCGTCGACAATCTTTTCAAACAATTTCGAATATTCATTTTTATTCCAAGGTAAGAAGCATATAAAGACAAAAAGTCATTGTGGGCAACCCCTACGAGATAGTTTGCATCGAAATGCATGGAATTAGGGGATGTTAGGTAGGAGGTAAATTGCTTTGAATATGGGCATGGATTCGAGGAATCGACTATATTATTCTATATTATAGACCCATAGAATTCGATGCATTATTCATCGATCCGATTCTAATACGTAATGGAAGCGAATGAAAAATGTTTGTAGACGTATACACGGGGATAATTATTTATCTACTATATTACAAACGTGCATATAATATTTCTAATCTTTTACGTATATTCATAGTTTTTTTTTTTCTATTTAGATCGAATTCACATGATTTATGCTAATCCCTAATTGGAAACTAACATAAATTTACTCGGTGATTTCTTCGAAGGGAAGGAGCGTCATATGTTCGACACATGACGGCTCTCTTCGATCCTACAATTGTTTTACAAAAGATTCTGAAAATCTTTTCAGCTTTCTTTAAAATTCTTCGGACCATTTTTCTTTTTCCTTTCTTTGGTTATACCCTAAAGGATCCACCTAAAGGATGTATTTGCGATTCGTGAAATTCGAAAGATCCTTTGTCAGTCGAGCTAATACCAAAGAACGAGAAAGAAATAAGAAATTTTTCGGTCATTAAGGATCGAATTCTAGAACGATCGTCGATAATCCTCTCGAATGAACTCGTAAAGATCTTTGAGAGATAATTCTCTCTTTGTCCTTGGTTTTATCCTCTAATATATTTCTCGTCGAGTCTCATCGAACTTGTTGCTCGAATTCCACGAGGGAAAATCCGCCTGGTCACGCTGCTTAATCCGAGCAAGAAATCGTCCCACGATGACGACGGTCTCGGCTCGCCATTACGTTCGAAAAAGAGCGACTCTATCGAGGTAGTCGAAATCGACCTTTATTTTGCTCGAAAATTCGAACATTTTGTTAATTGTACGTACACTTTCATGAATTATTAGTTAATATCGATCGATCGTTCGTGCATATTCAGCGATATTTTTTTTTCTCAAACATACGTAAACGGTAATAATTTACATTTGGTATTACGATCGATCGATCGTCATTGGATTTGACATTAAAAGTCATTTTATACATACATGCATACATAAATAAATAGAAAAAAATGTTAGGAGCATAAATTAGCATCCTCGTTGGAATTATTACCGTTGTTCTCTCGCGAGCACTTTCGCGTTAAACGACTGTCCTGTCGGCTTTTATCGTTCGTCTCTAAATTCTCCGAAAACTTATGACGAGTAAATACGGATTACAGAGACGTTGCGGGGCGCGCGCGTGCTAACTAGCTAGCCTGCTTAAAGAGTCTAAATTTTATTCAGTTAAGAGGCTTAGAGATTTGCGACATGCTCGTGAATACGTTAGAAGATACGGAAGAAGGATACGATGATAAAACGTCACATCGTTCACGAGCAAAGTTAATGATGTCATTTTCTGAGAAAATACCAATCCCGAGTCATTCGATGTTACTTCGTCGTACGAAATTAATCGTTATCTCGTCGTCTCGGCGAAGAAAGGGAAATGTTTGTAAATTAATTAAGTACTTACATCGTCCGATATACGAATTATCGAATTCCTTAAAACGATAATCGGCTGATAATGAACGGTTGGATAAACATTTTTCCATTTGATAAGAGTAAGATAATATTTGTATTAACCGTCGATATGACTGATCTTAAATCATTTTATACCTCGTAAAATTTTATTCATAGCTACGAACAAACTGAGAGAGCTTTGTATATGGCGCATACAAATTTAAGACTATGACCTTTATCGCAGGTACGATAAAGCTCATAGTCTTAAATTACAGTAATTACGTTGCGATTATAAGAGAAGATACAAATGAATTAGCGTCTAAATTTTATCGCACTATACCCCCTGACGTAATATGACGAATGCCTTGAATATCGAGCATTTTAATTCAATAGCCTTTATAAATAATTCAACGGACATGATAACTCATTTCCTTCGTTTAATACGAAATGTAACCCGCGTTTCTCACTCGACGAGAACGAAGAAAATAATTTACGTTTTGATACCGATAGATATGCGTAATAATTTATCCGAATGACGAATGTTCGACCTTCCCTAATGTGACAGCAAGAAAAAAGTATATATATTTAAAGAGTTACATACGTTCTCTCGAATTTGCATTTTCCCTGATGAGTAACGATTATGTTACAACTCCCCTCCCAGTCTTCTTCTCCTCAATAGAGTATATATTTCTATATAAAGCGAGAGTTCACCGGACGGAATGAATATTAAACGTTACAGAAATTACCGGAAAAAAATAAAAACTATGATCTTTTGGCATTTGGAAAAATTATTGACAAAGAATGACGGAAGTTAGGGTCGCTCATGGTTGACCGTTGCTATGCATTTGCTATTCAAGCAAATGCACAAACAGCAAATAGTTATTGACTGAATTAAGCATTTAATGGCATTAAAAATATCACACGAAACGGTCACACTTCAACAACTACGCGAACAGGTAGTAGTAGCGTAATTATCTGTTGTATGAAAAAGAAGGAAAAAGAAAAAAAAGAAAGAAAGAAAAAAACGTATGTAGGTAAAAAATATAGGAAGAGACGAAGATAGAACGATGCGCAGACCGTTTTGTTGCTACGATACGTTGAACTGTGCTATTGAGGATAAAAAGAAAAAGAAAAAAAAGAAAAAAGAAAAAAAAAACCAAAAAAAAGAGTAAGAAAGAAAGAAGCTAAAAGGAGATCGAAAAGAACGTTTCGCAGGTAACACGATGATTTTCCCCGAACGGAACGGATTTCCATTGATATCTTTGGCGTTCTTCCGCGCTTACACGCCTAACTCTTATACCTCAGCGTCTGGAATGCCGCTAACTGAGTATGCAAATACGACTGCCGGCACTTATGCGCCGCTATTGGCCAGACCTGCCATTTAATGGCGCCAGAAACGCAAGAACGCGGTCGCACGTAAAGTCCTTCGTCGAATTTTGTTGCTTCATACACGGCTGCGAACGATCGTTGCCGTTGCAACGATCACCAACGACGTGATTTATAGCCTCTTCTCTCGGCAGGATCTTACGAATAATCGATAATCGCAAGCTCCTGATAGTTCTGCGACAAGTATGGATAAGAGAGAAAGATATATATATATATATATATATATATATATATATACATGCTTGGCCTACCACCGTTTCTATATACGCCATTTTACTTTCGCATACAATTTTCTACCTCGTCGAGGCAGAAAACGGATAACGTTTCTGCGTACATTAAACGTTCGAAGATTGTTCATACCTTACAGTACAGATTTATGGTAATTAATTAGGACACGAACGAGTAGTTAATTATATATTGCTTGTCGCGTTTTACATAATTACATATTTTGTATTTGCATCAGTAAGATAAACATATAATCGTAAAAAGTAAAGGTGTTTTAATTATCCTCCTTCTTAATTATTTCCCTTCACACTTCATTTTTACTTTTATCACAATAATTTCTTTTGTGAAATTTCCACGTTTTATATGAGAAATACGTACTCTCTCTCTCTCTCTCTCTCTTCTTTTTTTTCTATTATATATTCGATAAAATTGAAGTAAGCACGCGACTTAGGAATATAGAAATGCATAGAGAGAGAGAGAGAGAGAGAAAGAGAAGAAATTTATATGCCTGCGGGATTTCTCAAAGAGATCCTCTTCCCTTAGGACATATAATCTCGTACAAGGCAAGCCACCTAGAAAACACGAACTAACATGAGAGAGTGTATGAAGGAGTGGAAGAGAGAGAGAGAGAGAGAGAGAGAAAGAGAGAGCAACGGGACCTCGTTCAGAGATAGGCTTAAAACAGAGTTTAAAGACGCGAGCTAACGGCACCCTGCTGTGCACCCCGTAGCGAGGGGTCAGCACCCTTTTTCTCTTTTTGACCGACCACCGTCCGTACACATGTCGAATTTTTTTTTCGTCAAAGCTCGAGGTGTACTACGATGGACTTTCGCATGATGTTTTTCTTTTTTCTTTCCTTTTTTTTTTTTTTTTTTATTTCGTCTTTTTCCCCCGCCTCGTTTTTTCTTCTTCCTTTTTCTCTAGATGTAGATAACCGAATCATGTTGACACGACTCTGGACTAGCAGAAAAGAACGACGATGTATATATTTTTCTTTCTGTTCGAAAGACTTTATTCGCCATGTCTGTCAGCTACGAATTTATCTTCGAATTCATGGCCATCGTGATAGACGTTTTTTTATTTCTTTTTATTTCAACGAAAATGATCAAAGGAACATTTTATTATTATTATCGCTCGATTGAATTTTGATAGTCGATCGAACGTAATAGGAACAACCGTACGCCGTAATCCTCATCCCAAAAGAAAAGAACAATCGATCTGACTGATTCTGAGTATGGAGTATCAAGCGTGACTGTTTTAGAAATCACGGAGAGGAGGAGCACGGTGAATAAACGAAGAGAATTCGTAAGCTCGTAAATCAAATCTCGTTTACGTGCGTGTAACGAGGCTCACCTTTCAAACGATTATTTTTTGTTTATATTTTTTTCAATGGAAAACAAGGAACGGGAACACGCTCATATTGCGTTAAAAATAAAAACAAGAAATAGAAAAAAGAAAGGAAAAAAAGTGAAAGGAGAGAGAGAGAGAGAGAGAGAGAGAGAGAGAGAGAGAGAGAGAGAAAAGATGAATAGTATGGTTCTGTACGAATCTCTAGTTTCTTCCTTTCTTTCTCACAAAACTTTTCTTCGACCACGTGTTATTCTGTTTAGGGAAGCGAACTCGAGAGCTTACAAGTACGGTTCTCTCGTACCTCGGCTCGTAAAACAAGCTACGTGTTTCGAATTCGAGCGAGTTTTTCTCGACCTTGTCGACTGATTTACACGCGAGGACATCCCTTACTACAACTCAACTCTCCTCTTCTAATCCCCGTGAGTATCACATTTCTGTCGCTTTCACTGCCATTTCGAGGACGCATATGGCTTCTGTGCTCGTATACATCTTCTCAAACGTTTCAAAATTACGACCTTAAAAGGCTTAAGCATCGTCATTTACATCCTCCTTCGTTTGTAATTCACGTTCTAATCCAAGATTTAAACCATGTTGAATAACCGGGCTACGAGTGATCTTAGCCAAGTGTGACGGCAAAATAGTTAATAAAACCCGTTGAAAGGATCTTTAAATATTCATTAAGTATAAACATATATTGATAATTATATCGTATACATAATTCTTAATCTTTACGATAGATCGATTGATCGATAGCTCGTTATATTATTGTACAGATATTTATCTCAAATTTTTCCTTGTAGGACTATTCAAAAAAAAAAAAAAATAAAAAAAAAATTTAAAAAAAAATTAAAAAAATAAAATAAAAGTTATTTACATGGAACGCTATTTTTCAATCGACAGATGTAATAATTTTGACCTATCATAGAGAGAGAGAGAGAGAGAGAGAGAGAGAAAAATTTCTTCTCTCGAAATTTAATTCGAATCTAAATGCTTATAATGCGAACGTGTAAAAAAAAAAATCACTGTGAAAGTGGCACGGAGAGTTATCACGACGAGGTGTCGCCCTTCGAAAGCGACTTTTTAATTAATCGATGAACTTTGAAATCGTTGCTTGTGAATCGCTGGAATGTTTTTAACGTTGAGTGTCCCACATGGACCCACAACTCGATGCAATCTCGCAATGGTGTCTCGTCTTAATGCTTAACATACATTTTCATAAATTAACGCGCGAGTTCCTTTTTTCAAGGATTTATAAATACTATTAATGAGAGTCATCAAACTGGGATCGTTTAAAGATGGATTTCTTCGGTCTCTTCTTTGTTAGTTTTCTGAAAATAAAATTATTTGTTAAAAAAAAAAAAAAAAAATAAATAAATAAATGGAAGAAGGAGAAAGAAAAAAGAAAAGAAATAAGCTATTAATTAGGACTTTAGTTTGAAGACAAATTATATCAGTGACGATATAAACTGTTGTTATGGGATCAAAGATACGCGATCGATCTTGATGGATCACTTTATTCTATGCAAATGATACAATTAGGCGAGCCAACGGTTCGAGAAATTACGCTTCGATCCGGCCCCGTTCTATTTTCATTATTTCGAGCACATCTCGACCGTATATAATCGAGTAATATTTCAAGCACGCAATCGATACACGTAATCATCTCGATTCGTTGATTCTCAATCGATTCAATCCGACGTTTTGAATTTTTTTCGCGAAGTTCTCTCTTCTAACGAAAAAAAAAAATAAAAAAAAAAAATAAATAAATAAAATATCCTATAGGTACCTATCTGTAAAAGAAAGAAAGAAAGAAAAGAAAAAAAAAAAAAGAGAAAAGAAATAAAAATTGGCTAGACGTCGAAAAGGTCAACTATTTTCTCGTTCTCTTTTCTTCCTTCTCGGTCCATCGATACTTGCATGTAAAATAGCGGCGAGTTGGAAAGGCCGAAAATAAAACGTCACAATAAAGCATTTCTCCTCGGTGTCGAGCAAATTTATGGGTCGCCGCTCGAGACTCGAGATCGATTAGAGACGCTTCTCCATCGGCCAGCGAAAAAAGGCACCCACCGTTAAAAGGGGTGGCCCCGTCGTTCTTCGCTCCTTGCGACAGAGTAATCCGACTCCGGGCGGGCGCAGTCTCTACCGCTGCCCACGATCTTACGGCTACTCTCCAAAGAGAGAGAGAGAGAGAGAGAGAGAAGGAGAGCCTGTCAAGAAACGAGCCACGTAAAGTCGTTCCGCGCCTTTCGCGATAGTCGTGCCCTTATGGATCACCTTCTACTTCCATTTCCATCTCCTTGCTTTCTTTTTGCTTTGTCTCTCGGTATTTTCGAGCTTTTATTTTCATCTTAGAAATCGACATGATCGATACCAATGTCAAGATATATAATTTTTTTTTTATAATTAATTTAAAACGCGATCGGTCAATTTCATTCTTAAACCTTTAATCTCTTTAATAATTTTTGATTGACGTTTATACGTCACGTTTATATATATATATATATACATATATATTTTTTTTATTGTAATCGAATGGATATCGTTTAAAAATATCGATTCATACTTGCCTCTTTCGCAAGATATTGTAATTGAACGATCTACCTTATACATTTAATTTTTCTTTTTTTTTCGAAGCCGAGACGAATTGAAATGGGTCGCATGTTGACAACAACGAAGCTTAATGTGCCGTGTGACAATGTTAGGAATGCGTTCGTTTAACGTGCATTCAAACTGGACTATGTGCCTTTTACTATGGCCCATGTTAAACGAATTACAAAGCTTGAGATCTGGTATTTCGTTAACGAGATAACACATTCTTCTACTCGTTCTTCAAATACTCCTTTTCCTCTATCTATTTTAACAGTCAAAGAAATATTTGAGATATCTTGCTCTGTAATTTCTTTTTTTTTCCTTTTTTTTTCTTTTCTTTTTTTTTCTCTCTACGAACAAGAATCATTGTTGAATCATCGTACGAATCGTTGTACGATGCTGTACGATCGTTAGAAAAATTTTGAATCAATGGTCATTCGATTAAATGACATTTCGAAATATTCTTTAAATCTGTAATATGTATATGCATGTATACATATGCATTTCTGTGAAATATTAAAAGATTCTTTTTTTTTTTTTATAAATATATACGGTCTTATTAAAAAAAAAAAAAAAAAAAAAAAAAAGAAAAGAAAAAATCCTTCAAAGGAACCGCAAAATTTGTATCCTGATTTTGACTTCTCAGTATCATTTCACGTTTCCATGCGTTCGGTCGATGATATTAAATGTTAGCTTGGGTCTTAAGGATTGCATGCGTGAAGCTTATTACGTTTTTATCGCACATAAACCAAGTTTTAATTACACTCTTCTTAGCTTTACGATATCCTTGAAAGTTTCATCGAACGGCATATCTTGGAGCTTTATCGAACGACTTCTTCATTCAGGAGAGAAACGTAAAGTCGTCGAACGAGCGAGCCTAGTTTCGATCGTAGCGATGCGTCCATGAAAGTGCCGTTCCTATCGCGAAACGGCTCCCTTAATGTCACTTTTCATGTCGCTCGTTTCATTAGGATACTTAAAGCATACTCATGCATCGTATTCTGACCGGTTCGATGTCACCAAAGATTTACCATTGCTTCTTTCTCGTCTATAGACCAATTTTTTTTTTTATCGTCCACAATATCTATCTAAAAGAACAAACAAAAAAGAATAAACAAATTATTTCCCTCAGCGATATATTTTGTTCGTATAGAATATTACAAAGAAATAAAACGATTTCGATTATGAACACGTCGACGGCAAAGTAAACTTGTAGGAATATTTACAATGACACACGCGCACGAACACACATCGATTCTTTTTTTCTTTTTTTTCGACAAAGAAAAGAAAGGGCATTCACTCGAGTGGATACTTCGAATAAACTAATATAGAAAACATTCTAGGATGTTTTCTATCGTGGAAAAAAGGAAAAGTCTGTTTGTCGAAATACGATCGTTTCTTCTTTTTTTTTTTTTCTTTCTTTCTTTCTTTTTTTTTCATAAAGGTTTCCTCGAGTATGTGCATTTTCGATTCTTCGAAAGGTCGTCACCTTCGAAAGTCGTCGAAAAGTAGGTGGGTTTCGAGCACCCTTACAAAATTTCGGCACGTTCTGTTCTCGAGAGCTCGTGCCAATCGAAAATACGAAAGATGTTATAGAAGAAGGAGACGAGGATGAAGACTAAGGATGAGGAGGAGGAGGAGGAGGAATGAGGGAAAAAAGAGAGAGAACGAGGGGCAGAGAAATGAACGAGGAAGAAAAAAAACAGAAAAAAGAAAAAGCAAAAAAGGGTCGAAGATTCTTCACGTAGCACGTCGAGACAATATGCGTGGGCCAGAGAACGCAAACACGTCGTCGTGTCGGTGCGGCCTTTCTTCCAATCTCGAGAAGAACGTTTGCTCGCGTCCGTCCAGTTTACGTTTCGAGATCTCGAAGATCCATATAATTACTGTGAGAATCGTTTTTCAAGAAGCACGTAGCGCCACTCGAGTGTAAACGGAACGAGATACTTCTCGCGCCTCGATCCTGTCCCTTAAGGGATACGTTTGTTTAGGTAAAGGGTGAGATCTTTTGTTTCTGAATCATGTTCCGTGAATAGGAATGTCGACTCGAGTATTGGATACCTTCTTCTTTTTTCTTTGTCTTTTGTTTGTTTGTCTTTTTTTTTTTTTATTATTATTTCCTTTTATTTTTTCTTTTTTGTCTTCTTGGTCGAATTTTAACCACTTCTCGAACACGAGCGACGTCACTTTACTAAACTAAATATAATCTTTGCGGTTGAAGTAATCGAAAAGATAGAAAAGAAAGAAAATGAAAAAAAGAAAAGAAAATATTTTTTTAATTTCATTCCCGTTCGATACACGTTTGAGAAATAATTCATTGTCCACGAGGACTCATAATTTGCAACTTTCACTTCCGACTTTTCTAAACGTACGATTAATACGAACGAGTTATATTTTCTTACGTGTCTCATTAAGAAGAATGCTAAGAAGTTTCTCATACTACGGTTCATTTACAACGAGATGCTGGCTCTAATGCTGTCGGAAAAAGGTAAAAGAGTCGTCAGATCGCCCTTGTTCAAAATGAAATGACAAATCAAAAAGAAATCGTGATCTACGAGGGTGAAGATCACGTAAGCTCGATTTAAGAGGTCCCACGTTGAAAGGCATAAGATAAAGCGTTTAAAGCTCGAAAGAAAAAAAGTTGGACCCATTTGTCTCGTTAAGCTATCATCAAAATGATTTTCGATGTATCGTCCCTTCGCCCTAAAAAAGAAAAAAGAAAAAAATAAAAAGGTCCAAATATGTTACTTGAAATATCGTACAATGGTTTATTTCATTAGGATGACGTCTATAAGGATTATTACGAAAAGGAATGTTGATAAAAGATTAT